ATGTCAGGAATGCTAGGTGTCACAGATAAAAATAGAAAAAAAAATGAAACGGTCCCCATTCTCGAGGAGCCTATATTTTAATAAGAGAGAAATGCACAAATAAGCATAAATAACAAGTTATTATATACAAGTAAAATAAAGGGAAGGCATGAACAGTTGAAGGGGTCAATATGGCTTCATGTAGAAGATGGTGCTTGAGTTATGTTTTGAAGGAAGATAGAGATTCTATGTGGCAGAAGTAAGGAGAGAATGCTTTACAGGCATGGGGAAGATAACCTGTGCCAAGGCATGCAGATGGGAAATGCTGATCTTTCTGGGGAACAGAGAAGAGGCTAGTTTTACAGGATTGCTGCATTGAGTAAGGGTAATAATTTTCAGTCAGCCTAGAAAGCTAGGTTGGGACTAGGTTGGTTAGAGCTTCAAGAGCATCACAAAAGTGTATATATTTGATTGTAGACACAATAAGAAGCCACTGGTCTTTATTGAATAGGGAAGTAACATAGTCAAATCTATACTTAGGACAAAAAACTTTGACAGCTATGTGAAAAATTCACTGGAGCAGGGACAGACTTGATGCAAGGAAACCAATTAAGGGACTATTATAATAATCTAGGAAAGAACTGATGAGGGCCTGGACTGTGTGAGTAGAGAGAAGAAATCTCATGAAAAAGACATGAATGGGAAGAAGTAAAATTTGCCAACTGATTGGGTTTTTGGGGTAAAGGAAAATTAGGAGTCAAGAATAATGCTAAAGTCTATGATTAAATCTTTCAGTTAATGATATAAAAAGGAAGAAGTATAAGCAGGCTAGGGGCTGAGCCATGATTTAATTAGGGAATCCACACTAATGTAGAACACACACACATATGTATATGTATGTGTATAAAAGAACACATATATAAACCCCAGACTGGCCACTGCCTATCATATGGAGCCAAGGCAGAAGCACAGTAATTCCTATCATCTGAAAAAGACCCCAAAACTGCTTGATTCCCCCAATTACATGTTAGTGTTGGGTTTTGCACATGGAAACTGTGCCTTGATTTAGCACATATGTCATTGTCAAAGAATCTAAGATATGCAGTTACATAGGAACTCATAGGCCAATTAGTACAATCCCCTTCTTTTTTCAAATGAGGAAACTGAGACCCATGGAGGAAAACTGACTTGCCCAAGTTTGTGTAAGTAGATTACACATTAGAAGCAGAATTTGAACTCAGGTCCTCTGACTCCAGAGCCAGTGCTCTTTCTACTCTATGATGCTACTTCCTTACTAATTAAGAAGGTTCAGCACTGCCCATCCCCATGATATAACAAACACTTACTAAGCAGCTGTTCTTTACAGAGACCTTGGTCAAGTGTGAGGATTGATTTAAAGCTTAGATAAAATGCTCTTCCTGCCCTTAAAATACATTTATCTGGATCATCATCCATATCATGCCTCATCAGTGTAAGTGTGTCTAGGGTGTGTTGGTAAATGATTAACAACCAACTCTCTTAAAATGTATGCATAACATACTTTGAAGTTCAATCTGCACCATGAACATTGTCTCTATAACTTTCTTAAGGGTAGGCAATCAACAAAACAATAAATCAAGCCATGATTTTTAGCCTTTGAAGATTTCCAAATTACAAATGCTCACACTGATATTATAACAATTGGTTCTTTTCAGGTGGCACAAGTTGGATCCAGAACACCCTTGGATGTATCCCAGGCCTTTATTCCCTTCTCCTCTCTTCTCTTCTCTTCTCTTCTCTTCTCTTCTCTTCTCTTCTCTTCTTCTCTTCTCTTCTCTTCTCTTCTCTTCTCTTCTCTTCTCTTCTCTTCTCTTCTCTTCTCTCTCTCTCTTCTCTTCTCTTCTCTTCTCTTCTCTTCTTTTCTCTTCTCTTCTCTCTTTCCCTTCTCTTCCTTCTCTTCCCTTCTCTTCCCTTCTCTTCCCTTCTTTCCCTTCTCTTCCCTTCTCTTCCTTCTCTTCCCTTCTCTTCCCTTCTCTTCCCTTCTTTCCTTCTTTCTTCCCTTCTCTTCTCTCTTCCCTTCTCTTTCCCTTCTCTTCCCTTCTCTTCCTTCTCTTCCCTTCTCTTCCCTTCTCTTCCTTCTCTTCTCTTCTCTTCTCTTCTCTCTTCTCTTCTCTTCTCTTCTCTTCTCTTCTCTTCTCTTCTCTCTCTCTCTCTCTACTTCATCCAACCATCTATATTGACTCCAGTACACATATTAAGCCTTTTGGATGAACCACAGACATTTCAAACTCATTTTTTAAAACAAAAATATCTTTTCCTCCAAACCCGTCCTTCACCCAAATGTCTTCATTTCTTTGAAGGGCATCAATATCCTTCCAATCACTCAAATAGATATGTCAGCTGGAATGACTAATGAATTCAGGTATAATCACTGGACTAGGTGGCACAGTGGTAGCTCAAGTACTAGGCCTAGAGTCAGGAAGACAAGGTATTAAATCCATCCTCAGATTTTTTCTAACTGTATGACCTTGGGCACAGTGGATAGAGTGCTGGTATTGGAGTAAAAAAGACCTGAGTTCAAATCTGACCTCAGATTACTAGCTATGTGACCCTGGGTAAATCACTTAACCTCTTTGCCTCAATTTCCTCAACTATAGAATGAGCATGATGATAGTCCATACTTCTCAGGGTTGTTGTGAGGATTAAATAAAGGTACTGAGCAGAGTTCCTAGCACATATTAGGTGATTAATAAATGATATTAACATTGTTATTTAAACATCTCTTCTGTGTATCATTAACTAGAAAACTCATTATTTAAAGGTGATATTTGCTTGCCTAGGATTAGTGCAGCTTAAAGGTAATCAATTTCCATTGTCCTCCTGAGTAGAGACACAACGTGAGTAGCAATAATCAGAATTTACTCAGGTCAGTCTGCACACCTGGAAGAGCTGACCATTTCCTAGACAGATCTTACATTTTTGTGGCATGTTCTCAATCAGGAAAAAATGGAATCTGGATACTATATTAGAGATTGACACGTATTCTTATGGTTGTGTTCCTCTACCAATACAGGCCTGCTACTATTTTTGAACTTTCAGGCTGTCATGGAAATTTGAAACTCCTTAGCCAGGGATTGAAGTTCCATAACATCTTCTATATATCTTTCCAGTGTTATCTCAAATGTATTCTATGAGAAACTCTAGTTAAAATAGAATACTCAATCTTCTCTGAATTTCCCCTACACTTTCCCATTTCCATGTCTTTGGTCACTATAACAATTTGTTTGGACTCAAAGAAATGAAAGATTTTGAGCAGAAGAGTTACACGTCCATGTTTTTGCATAACGAAATTGGTACTGGTATGGAGAATTGATTGGATTGGGGTGGGAAGGGAGAGAGACCTTTTAGAAGGTTATTATGACAGTCCGAGGTGGCAGTAATGAAGGATTATATTAACATGATGAGAGATTGACTAAAAAGATATTATAGAGATAGAATCATCAGACTTTGTCTGAAACAAGAAACATCATCATCAATATATAAAGATAGACAAAGATATGAAATAATTCAGGATGACAGGAGTCAATGATAGAAGATAAGATTAAGCCAACTAAATAAATAGGGAGACTCATAGAATCTTCGATCTAGAGAGGACCAGAGATTATCTAGTCCAACTTCTACATTATATACAGGAAAAAATCCAATCTAACAAATATTTACTAAGCATCTACTATGCTCAAATGACTGCTTTTGGCATTCATAATATAAAGAAAAAACACATTACTGAGCCCTAGAGAAGAGAAATTATTTACCTAAGGTCAAACAGTTAGTCCTTGAGATATAATTAGAAGCCAGGTCCATTGATGGCATTTTTCTTAAAGTGTCAGTCACTCCTCCCCACCCTCCCATCCCACCTCCACAGACACCTCTCCACCAGCTCCCTCATCAAGCCCATTAACACACATACTTGATCTCTTCTTTCCAGCATAAACTTCCTTCCCTTAGCTCTTACTCCTTTTCCTATACTGGCATTCAGCACAATCCTCTCCTTCCACATATACACATGCTTTTACCAGCTTCTTGTATTTTACTCTCCAGGGGACTTTAGGACCTGGAGTTTCTTGAGGTCAACAACTTCAGTAACTCTGTAAAATGTCAGATCCTCATTCGATTTAAGCCACTTGCATAAATACAACAAGGAAATGAGCTGCAGTCAGAAGTAAAGAAACATCTCTCTGGGACTATTATACAAAAACAACAAAAAAAAAAGGCAAGCCCGGAGAATGAATGAATGAAAGTAAAATTGATTAAGAATGTACACTTTGTCAGACACTGTCCAAGGTGCTGGAGATGCAAATACAAAACACTATACTGTACTATACAGTACTATATTACTATATGTATACATATACATGTGTGTTGTTGTATGATAGGGCAACGATGTGGTGCAGTGGATAGTGTGCTCAGCCTGAGGTCAAGAGGACCAGAGTTAAAATCCAGCCTTAGACTCTTACTAGTTGTGTGATCCTGGGCACATCACTTAACCCTATTTGCCTCAGTTTCCTTATTTGTAGAATGAGTTGGAGAAATGGCAAACCACTTCAGTATCTTTGCCAAGAAAACCCAAAATAGGTTCATAAAAAATCAGACATAACTAAGCAACAACCACAGAAACAATAAGACTGAGAATCAAGGAAGGGAGTTGTGGTTTGGGGCATGACAGGAATGGTGAGTGAAGCCACAAGGAAATTACTTAGCAAGAGAGACTGATGGATTTGGAATTGGAAGCACATGGTATATGAGCAGGTACAAAAGGGTCCTATCTTTGGTCAAAGGAAGGGAGGGAATAAATTTTCTCCTTTCCACTCCATTCCTGGCACATGGAAAGTTTTTCCCTTTACTTGGAAGTCAAGCAATTCCCTTAAAACTTGCTAGTTTTCATTAGGCCCATATCCAGAGGGACACAGATCTTTTGGCCTGATACTAACGCACACCTGGAGTGCAATGACGTGTTTGACAGCATCCACATTCTTTGCTGACAGTGCCCAGTCATACATTTCAAGATCCATTTTCTGGGAAGAGTACCTTGGACAGATGGCAACTCCTGGAAAGAACTGGCCGCCCTGGCACCACCAGCTCCAAAGAGTTGGAATGCCCCTTTCAAGAGTCAAGATTTTCTAGAATGATGGTAACAACGACATCCACACTAATGGTACAACTGCTGATGCCAGCATGGCAGAAAGAACTCTGGCCTATGTTCAAGCTCTGCAGAAAGTCTACACAATCCAAATGTCTCCTGAATAAAATACATCACATGACATCACTGTAAATTTCCCCATTCTCCCCAAAGTTTTGTTGACCTGAGGAAAAATTCCTCTAACTCAAGAATTCTTTGTGTGTGTGCGTGCATATGTGTGTGTGTGTACTGGAACTTCTAAAACAATTCTCAAAATATATTTTTAAAGTTCATAATTGAAGGAAATGCTAAATTTCAGTCAGAGGTTAATGCAAATAGAAAGGTAATTATTTCCCCATCTAAGTTCATGGACTCCCTGAAATCTAGCCACCCAATGTCTGTTTCCGTGGATGCCAGGTTAAGAATCACAGCTCTAGATGATCAAGACAGAATGAACTTTACACTTGACATAAAACCTTACACTTGATATTATCCACCTTTTTATGTAAAGAATCTTTTTAAGTATGACCTTAAATTGTAAACTACTATTTGAGAATGTATTCCACTCATTTGATTTAACAGATCCTTTTAAAGTACTTTATATATGTAATACTCTGCTAGGCAGGTGCCTTACAGTCAGATCACACAGTTTACAGAATATTTCCACATTCATTATTAGAATTGATCCTCACTATCACTATAACCCTGCCACATCAGCAGCCAGACATTATTGCCTTCACTTTAAAAATAAGAAAAATGAAGACTGGAGAAGTGATTCACTTCCCAAGGGCTCTTCTTTCCACCATAACATGGAGTCTTCCTTGTCTAAGGGACAGATTAGGAATAATCTTTACAAGTTTTAGAGAGGCAGATATAGGCTCAATGTAAATGAAAACAAACCAATATTAAAAAGAAAGAAAGGAAAGGAAACATCTTCCTAACCAAAGAAGCTTTCCAAAAGAAGAAATGTGCTGCATCAAGATTTAATGAATCACCTATTACTAGAGGTCTCTGAGCAGAGGTTGGACAGCCATATGTTAAGGATTTTATGAAGGGTATCTCTGTTCAAATATATGTTGGCAGCTCTGGGAGGTAGAAACTGTTATTATTCCCATTTTACAACTGAGGAAGTTGAGGTAGACAGAAATTAAATTAAGTGCCCACGTAACACAAATAAATAAAAAAAAATTTCAGTCTGGATTTGAACTCAAATATTCTTAAGTCTAAGTCTCTATCCACTGACCCATGTGGCTGCCTATATCAGGAGTGTAAAGATTGTTGGGTTTGAATTTTAGCTAACTACAAATTTATCTTTGATTGGGCTAGTCACTTAACTTCTTGAGGCAATGGCTTCCTCATCTGGAAAAATAAGTTGGGATAGATCACTCTTAAGTTCTCTCCCAACTATAATCCTATGATTTTATGAACATCTTTAGAAGACCTCAAAGGAAAGGACTTAACATACCAATGCTGCCCAGAGTACCATGTTGATAGGGGTTTGTCCATATTACAGTATAAATGACTAATATAAGATCTTCCCCCCCCCAATTTTGCTTGGGAGATACAATGAAAAATTAAGTTAAGGCTTCAAGCATCAGCTAACAAAACTATGATTTAATAATTTATTAATTTATAATAAATAAAAAATGAAATAAGAAAAAAAAATTTAAAAGATTGTGATTAACGCCCAAGTACTAGCCTAGCTAAGTCCAGGGAGACTTATCATTGGAAGGTTTGCTATCACACATATGATGCTTAATAGTTCATTTTCTATAATTGCTCCCACATTGTGTGCTTACCTGGAGGCTTTAGAAGTACTGGTGATGGCAACAAAAGCACACTCCATAGCTCCCACTTATTAAGTCACTTCAATTCCATTCAATAAGTACCCATTAAGTGTCTGATATGTGTAGGCCACTGTTTCAGATTTGGGTCATACAAAAACAAAAATGGAACAGTTCCTATCTTCATGGTGACTATATTCTATCATGCATGGATTAAAGAACTTTAAATTACATAAACACAAGTATGCAATGTATTTATAAACTGAGTACAAAGTTATTTGGAGGGCACTAACAATTGGAGAATCAAGAATGGTTTGATGGAGGAGATGGCTTCTGAGTTGAGCCTCCAAGAGGGCTGGGATTCCTAGAGACAAAAGAAGTGAGGAACGACATCATTCCAGATATAAAAGTGGGAGATGGAGACAGTCAGTTCAAAGGCAAAGGAGGTTGTTTGAGGAGTCCAGATGAGAAGTGATGAGGCCAGAATCAAAACAGAAGAATGGAGAGAGATGGGAAGAAAAAATTTTTAAGCACGTATTTATGTACTACACTGTGCTAGGTACTAAGAATAAGAGAAAAGAACAGAAACAGTCCCTGCCTTTAAGAGGCATACATTCTTCTATGGGTTGTTTCACCATGTCACAGATCCCAGGTAACCTCGAAGCATATGAAATTAAATTAAACTGATTGAATTGGTTAAATTGATTGCATTTATTTTAACTTCACCCTTATCAACATAGATTAAAATGATCTGTCAAAAGCACTTCAGGGAAATAACGGGCTAGTAAATTTGCCAGTGTGAGAGAGCCTAGTAAATAGCTATTATTAAATGAATTAACAGGGAATTGGAGAAAATCAGATTTTCCACTTACTCATTTATCCATTCTGAGGATTTAATGAATGGGCAGAGTTTTGGCTGAAATATTGTACTTCACCCCTTACCGTTGACTTTCTTCAGTTTCTACACTGGATTTCCTAACAGATAGTCAGTGGTTAGCAACTCTGAGCATAAACCATTTCACATTAACATTTTGAAAAGGCACCAACCTATTGTAAGACCCATCTGTGTTTTAGAAGAAGGCAGATGAACAGATATGTCTCAGATCAATGTTGTGGAGATACATGAGTGCTAAGTATTAACTATGTGTATAATAAATAGGGAGTTGGCAACAGAAACGCTTAATGAAGAAACCAGAGCAAAGATGGAATTCCCTTCTGAAGTATTGACTTAACACCTGTAAGTGCATAATAAAAATAGCTCTCATTAATACAACACTCTCAGGTTTATAACACTTTCTTAATTCCATAATAACCCTATTAAATATGTAATGAAAACAACCATCCTATATATAGTGCCTTAAGATTTTCAAAGCATTTTATATATATATCTCATTTTAACCTCAGTGCAACCCCGGAAGGTGGGTGCCAGTATTATTTTGCAGATGAGGAAACTGAGTCACAGAGCGATAAGTGCCTTGCCCAAGTGACTGAGGCTGGATTCAAATTCAAGTCTTTTCAACTCTAGGTCCAACACTCAATCCACTGCTCCACCTAGATGCCTAGTAATACAAATATTATTATTCCCACTTTGTAGGTCAGTCAGAGAACTTACCTAGGGTCAAGCAACTTATAAGACTTAACAGTAACATGATAGCTGTCTTCAAATATCTGAAGTTCTGTCAAACAGAAAAGAATTAATGAGACATAAATCTTGGCCTCTGAGAACAGAAGTGGGAACAATGGGTACAAGTTATAGAAAAGAAAAATTTCAGTTCAATATAAGGGGAAAATTCATAATATGTAGAGTTGTCTTAAGTGTTATGCCCTGAACTGAGAGGTAATGAGTGTTTTTTAAGTAGACATAATTTTTTTTTAAAAAGCTGGATGATCAACTGGTAGTTTTGTAGAGAGGATTTCTGGTTAGATAAAGAACAGGTTAGATGGACATTGAGGTTTCTTCCTTTCTGACTCCAAGACTAATTCTTTTTAGCTATTACATCACAAGACATTAGTGGGACTTTCAGATCAGGATATAATACCAATAGAACTTTTCCCCTTATGTAACAGACAATGATAATAATATATCTACCACTAACCTCAGTCCATCAGTCAACAAGCATTTATTGAATACTTCAGCACAATTCTAAGTGCTAGAGTGACAAAGAAATGCAAAAATATAATCCCTGTCCTCAAGGAACTTACTGTCTAATGAGGGAAACAACATGCAAATAACTATGTACATATAAGAGATATACAGTATGAATGGAAAATAATCTGAAAGGGAAGATGCTAACAATGGGAGGCAGAGGGGTGACTGGGAAAGGTGTCTTGCAGAGGGCAGAATTTGAGCTGTCTTAAAGGAAAATGAGGAAGCAAAGAGGTGGAGATGGGGTGAGGGGGAAAGAACTCCAGGCGTGAAGGTAGAATCAAGAGATGCAATGTCATGGGTAAGAAGCAACAAGTAGACCAGTGCAGCTAGATGATAGACTATATAGAAGGGAATAAGGTATAAGAAAATGTGAAAGGTCAGAAAAAGTCAGGTTTGTGAAAGACTTTACGTGCCAGGTTTGTGAAAGACTTTGCATGCCAAACAGAACATTTTATATTTGATCCTGGGGATAATAAATGAGTTGCAGGAGTTTATTGAGCAGGTGTATGACCAGTCATACTTACACTTTAGGAAAAATCTCTTTGGCAGCTGAGGAGAAGGTGGATTAGAACAGAGAGAGACTTGAGTCAAGGAGACCAACCATAAAGCTGCTGCAACAGTCCAGGACTGAGGACATGGAGGCTTGTTACTAGGGTCATGACTTTGTGAGTAGGGAAAGGGGAATGTATACAAGAGATGCCATGAAGGTAGAGATGATGAGACTTGAGAATAGAATTAACATGTAGTGTGACTGCAAATGAGGAATTAAGGATGACACCATAGTTGTGAGTCTACCTGATGGTGAGAATGCTAGTATGCTTGGCAGTAATAGGAAAGTTAGGAAAAGGAAGATTTGAGGAAAGGAGAGTTTTAAAAAACGATTCAGAAAATTCAATTCAAAAATATTTATTAAATTCAGTAGGCACTGAGAATGCAAAGCTGTTAATGAAGCAATCCCTGCCTTGTAAGCCCTGCAGGAGCTTACGTTCTATTGGGAGAATACAATACAATCATAGATTACTCTAGTACAAGGAAAACTGACAAACATGAGAGAACCCAAACAACACAGGGAATCAGAGAAGTCTTCGCTGGTAGGCAGCAAGTGAGCTAAAATCTGAAAGAAGAAGAAGATTTTGAGAGGTGGTGTCAGGGAGACAAGCATTAGGAAAGCAAGTACAAGTAAGGGCACAGA